CCGCTTTTGGCCTTTTCTGCTTGTCCTACACATGTACTAGGTATTGCAAATAAGGGAAACCATGGGACCTATGTTTCCTTGGGCCTGGCTTACTTCACTTACTATAATTATTTAAGTAAGTCTGAGTCATTGTTGAACAAAGTTTTGTTCTGTTTTGTTTTCGTTTTTTGGTCTCTCATTGCATATCCATTTCACAAACAAGGTAGACTGAGGCAAGGTGACAGGCGTGTCCAGGAGTTGTGGACAGAGCACTAATGCAGGGACTTTGTGTTTATAGTGGTGATTGCCCTAGTGTTGTCAGTCACCACAGGTGCCCCTGTGGGTTTACTCTTTATAATAATGGGTCCATTAGTGCCTTATATCTAAGTTCAAAAGCAAAAGTTTTGTTTCCTTACCAAAGCTGAAAATTTTTAATAAAATTCTTCTTCATAGGTCTTTCAGCATCCCAAAACACAAGAGGAGGTTTGCCAACTGAGCATCAATATCATGCAGGTATTGTTTGGAAGCAGTGGTGCTCAGAGTTTGACGTCTTAGTCTGCCAACCAGTCCTATTGGTAATATATATGTAGCACATATCAAGTGTGGATTTAAAATCACAGTATATATGTTTCTGCTTGCTTTAGCAAAGTATGAATGTTCATTTATATTGTACTTCATTTTTTATTCTCCTAACACTTTGTACATATTCCCATTAGTTTTCAGCATGGGTAAAATGATAATTAATTGTTGATATTTAATCTAGAGCATAATGGTTCTTCATTGATAGCAGTGCTTTTTATGCACAGAAACCAAATCTAGCATGTTATTGAGTGAATAAAAGAAAAAAGGTTTTCTCCTAAAGTATATTAAGGAACTCAATAATTGATCAAACTATAACTGCTTTTAGTTTTTTTGTCAGGACTGTAGTATATGTTGATGGGATATATATACATATATATATATGGAATATACATATACATACACTTACTAGATACACATCCTTCTTGCTTCTTAAAGGGTATTTTGTTACCCTTTTAATGTATATAAAATAATTTTTAATGTCCAAATAGATTAATATCTGAAACTTTCTAATTCTGAGACTTACCATTTCTGACTTAGGTTTTTATATACTGTCTGGAACAATTGAGCACCAAGCCTGATGCAGACATAGATACTACACAGTAAGTAAAAATGAAAACTATGGCTGGAAGTGTAGCTCCACAGTAGAGTACTTGCCCAGTATGTCCAAGGCCCTAGGTTTGATACCCAGCCCCACCAATAAACAATCCCCAAATCTTGCCTATGCGGTGGCACAGGCCTATAGTGTCAGTACTCAGGGTGTGACTCAGGGTGCAAGGAAGTAGAAGGTGGGTTGGGGGTGATGCTGTGGGAGTTTGAGGCAGGAGAATTGTCCATTCCAGCCCAGCCCAGGTATATCCTATCTCAGAGACAGAGTGAGATCACTGATACCTTTAATGAATTTCCCTTAGCCTTACTAGAGCCATATTGGACACTGAACAAATATATAGTTTACTAAGTATCCAAAAGAATAAGACTTCTCAATAATAAAGTAGAAGATTTAATATACAGTTCCACTGAAAAAGAAATTTGCTCATTACCTGACTTATGAAGCAGTAACACCTCAGTACATCACCTTTAAATAACAATAAAAATATAAAATAATAACTATACAGCTCCTAGTTGAGTACTTTTCTACTTGTGGCACTAGGGAGTTGTACCAGTGCTCAAATATAAGCTAAGTGTTATGGTACATTCCTGTATTCTCAGTTACTTGAGAGGTATAGATATGAGAGGATCAAAGTGCCAGGCCAGCCCTGGCAAAAGCAAGACTATATTAAAAAGAAACTAAAGCAAAAATGAGTAAGAAGAATGGCTTAAGACCACTTACCCTACTACCATCCCCAAAATGAAATGAGTTAAAACTTCTGATAGATTTTTTAAAAAATTTAATTATTTGAAGCATTTTAAGTAATTCAGTAATTTTTTTTTTTTTACATTTTCCCCTTTGCTGATTTTTGTTGTTGTTGTTATTGTTGTTGGGTTTTTTTTGGTCGTGGGGCTGGAACTCTGGGCCTGGGCACTGTCCCTAAGCTCTTCAGCTCAAGGCGAGCGCTCTACCACTTGAGCCACAGTACCACTTCCGGTTTTCTAGTGGTTTATTGGAGAGAAGAGTCTCACAGACTTTCCTGCCCCGACTGGCTTTGAACTGTGATCCTCAGATCTTAGCTTCCTGAGTAGCTAGGATTACAGGTATGAGCCACTGTTGCCCGGCTTCCTCTTTTTTTTTTTTAAGTTTAATGATGATCCAAAAGAAAATTTTATATGGCCCAGGTTGAAAGGTACTACACAGTAGCTTCTTGGAGCTATTAATTACTATATATAAGAAAACATATAGAAGGCTATGTAATATTTTTTTTAAAAAGTGTGTGTGTGTGTGTGTGTGTGTGTGTGTGTGTGCGCGCGCACATTTGTATGTTTGTGTTGGTACAGTGATTTGAACGCAAAGCCTGTGCTCTCACTAGGCTTGCTTGCTCATGGCTGATGCTCTACCACCTGAGTTATGCTTCCAGTATGACATTATGGCATTTTGCTATCAAATTGGGGATGTAAGGTATTGAGGACTTTTCTGTCAAGGATAGTTTCAAACCTTGATCCTACAAGTCTTAGTTTCCTTAATAGCTAGGATTATAGGCATGAGTCACCAACACCTGGTTAAAATATTTTAACTTCAAATATATATGTGTGTGTGTGTGTGTGTGTGTGTGTGTGTGTGTGTGTATATATAATTTATTCATTTTAAGTTGTTGTTTTAATTGTAAATATTCTTTATTTGTTTCTATATTCAGTCTTTCTATGGATGTTTCTTCTCCTGATTTGTTTGGAAGTATCCATGAAGACTTCAGCTTGAATTCTGTAAGTGAGAAGTTAGAAAGTACAATCTTTCATTTTGAAATTAATAGCTACTTTATAAATCAGCCTAAATCACTTTTAGTACATTCTGAGCATCTTATCATAACTGTACTCTGAAATTCTGCTGTATAGCTTGAAGCTCTGCTAGGGCGTGTGAAAATTTTAGTAAAGCAAAATTTAGGCGAATGCCTCACCTGAGATTCTTCAGCTGGAGTTTTATTTTAAATGGACCCATGCATTCACCACTTCTGTGCAGAATCTTGAGTAAAAGATTGCCCTTGTGTTACCAGGAACTGGAAGTTGCCTTGATGAATGAGGGAGAAGGCAGGAACAAGGGTATTTTCTGAGTCTTTGTCTCTTTAGCCAGAGATCTGCTTTTCCTTTTTTAAGCAATATTGGGGATTGAACTCTGGGCCTTGCACTCATTAAGTAGGTCTTCTGTCATTTGGGCCATCCTCCAGCCTATCTTTATGATGGTTGTGTGTGTGCGTGCGCGTGCGCGTGCACGTGTGCGTGCACGTGTGCATGCGCATGCACACATGCACACTAGGACTGAGAACTGTCCCTTAGTTTTTTTGTGAAAGGCTGGTACCCTACCACTTCAGTCATGGCTCCACCAATGCCTTTTTGGTGGTTAATTTGAGATTAAAAAGTCTGATGGAATTTCCTACTTGGACTTGCTCTGAACTGTGATTCTCAGATCTCAGCCTCCTACATAGCTAAGAATTACAAGCATGAACCACTGGTACCCAGCTGCAATGGTGATTTTTGAGATAGGGTGTCACACATGCCCAAGCCAGCCTTTGCTGTGATCCTCCTACTGTGCTTTCCCTGTGTTGCTGAGGATGACAGGTATATATCACTTTGATCAACCATTGTGCTTCCCTTGAAGCTGGGATAACAGACGTGCATTCCCTTGCTCAGCCATTGGTTGAGGTGGAGTCTCATAAACTCTTATACATGTGCTGGCCTGAAGCTGCAGCAGTATTTCTTGTCTGTGGACAATGGACAGGGAGAAGAAATGTTCAACAGAAAAGGGATCTGTTCTTCCGTCAAATGTGGTTTGGGTTAAGGGAATGGGAAGGAGCTGGTTCCCACATGCTAAGCAGCACAGTGGGTGTCACATGCTTTCTAGCCTCCTCCTTGACCTGGGATCTCAAACTCTAGCTTGGGCACTCTGCTGTCAGTGAAAACAGTCAACCATGAAACCTCAGGGTCTGCCCTAGAAGATAGAAAGAATAGCTAAAATCAATATTGGAGGTAACAGTAGTTAAGAATAGAGGTAGAGTAGTTAATAGGTTACAAGTAGAAAACCTTGGTTTTTCTGCAAAGGAATAATCATAAAAATAAGGAATTCGGATGGACTGGCATTCCTAGGTTAGGGTTAAAGAGTATGAAGTAAAACATGCTGGCAGGTCAAAGGCCCAGAAGGGTCAGTGGCCATGAAAAACCATGAAAGTGTAATGGGCCAGGACGTAAGTGTATTTCTATGGCCAGCTTCTCCTATAGAAGCAGGAGCTAAGGAGCTTGGGCTGAGCTTAAGCCAACCCTTCTCTAAGCCTAGGACAAAGAAAGCTAAAGCAATTGAGTTGAAGGCCAGAGACTTAGAGCCATCTACTAGCTAGAGATAAGGAAAGTGAGAATGGGCTCCCATTTGTATAGCCTGTCCCTCAGTAAGCAAGCGTAAACAAACAGACCACAGTTCAGGTCATAGCTCTCTACTGTTCCAGAATAAGCATCCTTTCAGCAGCCACCCAGAATTTGCCATGACTGTCTGATTTCTCCCCATCACAAAATGCCTTAGTAGATCTTGGGATATTAAAGTCTCCCCAGGGTCTCTGGTATCCAGATATGATGAGGGTGAGGAGATTTAGTTAGTCAGGCCTGCGTGGCATGGGAAGAAAAAGAACCTCACTGTCCTCTTATATTCAGGAAGAGTAACACCAGACCTGCTTTTCTTCTGAAGTGCTACAGGATGTTGGCTATATCCTTACTGTCAAATACACTTCTCTATTCAAGTGCGACAGGACTTCTGATTAACAACTCCAGTTTAAAGATTGAATTGTGCTGCTTATTTGTTCTTTCCATGTTTATTTCAGCTGAGTGGTTAGATTTGAGGCAAAGAAATAACCTTCTAAGGGTAAGATCATTCAGTAGTGATCTGTTTTGGGAGAAGAACAACACATATTACTTTGGGAAAATTAAGAGAACTTACAGGACATAGCAGACATCAAAGGCTCACTGGGCTATATAAGGAGGTTTGACCTTTTTATTTATTTATTGCTATAAAGGTGTTGTACATCACCTTTATATTAATAGGGTTACAGTTGCATAAGTCAAGTAGTGAGTACATAGTTTTTTGGACAATGTCACCCCTCCCCTTGCTCTCTTTATTGTTACTAAGGTGATCTTCAGAAGGGTTTCTGTTACATAAATCAGATAAGTCAGATGGAGTACATATCCTTTTGGACAGTATCACCTTCCCTCACTCTCAGTTTTTCCCTCTTGTCCCCACCTGCAAATTCAAAATAGTATCTAGTGAGTATCACTGTTGCATTTGCTCACCAGGATTAAATCTTGAAGGGAAAAGTAATAAAGGATTAATTTGAAGCTAATCAAGAGTTTTGAGGAGTGTAGCATGTATAGGGTGGTTGATGAATTGTCCTGCTTACTGGAAATACCAGACCTGGGAACAAAAAGGTAAATACTGCTTCATCATGCCTTCTTTTCATTGTTTTTCCTACTGTTCATTCCCTAAATTAGGAAATGGGATATTTTGCACCTATTACTCCATCAGCTTGTTTCCTAGCCATAGATTAATTCAGGGCCAATAACAACCTTTCATTTACTTGAACATACAAATTTTTCTTTGTGGCAGTACTAGAGTTTGAATTCAGGGCCTTATGCTTGCTAGGCAGACTTTCTACCATGTGAACCTTGCCTCCAATCCTGGTTTTGTTGCTTATTTTCAGCATATTTTATCAGGAACTTTTTTGCCTGGGCTGGCCTCAAACTGATCATTCCACTCAACCTCTCAAGTAACATGAGTCACTAAGTCCTGGCTTGTTTAAGCTTTCTTTTCTTTCCTTCCCTCCTTCCCTCTTTTTCTCTTTTCCTCCTTCCTTTCTTTCCTTCTTTCCTTCCTTCCCTCTCTCTCTCCCTCTCTCCCCCTCTCTCTCCCCCTCTCTCTCCCCCACCCTCTCTCTCTCTTTCTTTCTTTTTCTTTCTCTCTCTCTCTCTCCTTCTCATGCTCTCTTTCTTCCTTCTTTATTTCTGATAATATTGTGCTTTTGTTCAGGCTATCTTATAACCTTGTTTCTCCTTTCTCTCCCTCTTGAATAGCTGGGAATGAAGGTTGTGGGACACAATGTGCAGCATGTATAATTCTTGACCTTTTACTCTGATTTGTTGATTGCTAAAAAGTGCACGACTAGTTTCCACCCTACTAGAAATAAAAATACTAACATTTTGAACAAAGATATAAAGATAGACAATAAAGTTAAAAAGTCTTTGGAAATTTTGCTGAACTAAGTAATTATTGGGAGATAGAAGATTTGCTTGATAAGTGACTTAATATACTTTTGTTTATATTTAGTCCACTTATTTCAATGGATAGGTACCTGTTTATTTCTACATTTTCTATCTAGGAGTACTCTATTATAAGTTATTTTGATTCTCTACAGCTAGAATGAGCCAAGGATGGGTGAGACCTTTTCCTGGAAAGAGGTTTTATCTTAGCTGTAGTCAGGGATCTTGACTGAAAGCCTTGGATAAATCAGCTGTTCCAGAGAACACCCTCAACTGTTGAGGACAGACCGGGGCTTCTGTGGGCCTTTCATGGAATCTTATTCACAGAAATATTTCTTACAAAAATAAAGGAATTTTGTTTTCACCAATATAAGGTCTTATAAAATTTTTTATAAGATGTTATTTTAGGTGGCTTGGACCCTGGAGGATGAAGCAGCAAGAAGAGATTGACACTTCATGTGAAAGAGTCCTTAGACCTCAGTGACTAATCATTGGAAAAGGCTGTTACTGAGTACAAAATAAATTATTACAGGCCTAAAGCTTCTAAAGGAACCCATCAAACAGATAATTTGTCAATATAATTCTTTGAAGTTTTGAAAAATTTATAACCTATGTTCTAACTTGTTCTATATATAATTAGTTTTTATAAAATGTCCACATGTATAGATAAAATACTAAAGGTAACATTTTACTTTTTGGTTTTTTTTTTTGAGATAGTGCTGGGGATTGACCCTATGGCCTGTTTCATGCTAGGCAAGTGCTTAGCACTGGGCTAACTACCAGCTGCTGATTGACTCTTCAGTGTATTATGTAATAATGAACAGTTAGTGGAATAATAGAATTGTATCATTTCTGCCTACGTTGAAGAAGCAGCCAATAATAGTAGAGCTTTCTTCCCCTACAGTATAACCCCTGTTTTTACTGTATTTGATTCCGGTGTCCTGCAGCTTGTATATACATTTTTATAATTTGGGGAGGGGAAGGGATATAACAAAATGCTTAAATAAGGATACAGGTTGACCCATTGTAACAATGAGAAGTACAAGATACTATGTTGAAAACGAACTTTACAATTTCGGGGTTCTGGGGGAGGGAGGAGTTGGGGAGGTAGAGAGGAAAGGGATGGTAGGGGAAAAACAAAGGAAGAGGCAACAGTGCTCGATAGTAAATGTACTCATTACCCTACTCATGTAACTGTAAACCCTCTGTACAGTATTTTTATAATAAAAATATATATGAAAAAAAGATTGGCAGAGCCTTGAATATTGATGTCAAAGGGCAAGTGCTTATAATTAAACCTAATATATTATCAGGTTTATCTGTTGTACTTACCATGTGTTACTATAAATACAGTTTCCTGAAGCTTTGTTTTGTTTCTAGGAACAGCGACTTTTGATAGTTCTGAGTAATTGCTGTTATCTAGAACGCCGCACCTTTTTAAATATAGTGGAACATTTTGAAAAGCACAACTTCCAGGGAATAGAAAAAATTACACAGGTAAGTATTATATGGACAAAGTGGTTGTTTTACTAATGTTGTTTTCTAGCTGTTTTCTCAGCATTCATTTCTTTTGCCTTCTTGTGCTTGCTTTACTCATGCCCATTTCCTTTCCTCCTGACCTATCCTGTATTAGATTGCTTTCTCTGTTCTTACCGAATTTTTAATTGAATACTCTGCTTTGCTCTGAAAAAAAGCTTTCTCAAGATGGAGCTGGTTATTCCCTAGCTAAGCTATTTAAAATTGAGGGAAGAAAAAACATCAAGCTTAAATATTGCTTTAACTCTGGGCCTGGGTGCTGTCCTTGAGCTCTTTAGCTCAAGGCAAGCACTCTACCACTTGAGCCACAATGCCACTTCCAGTTTTCTGGTGGTTAATTGGGGATAAGAGTCCCACAGACTTTTCCTGCCCGGGCTGGCTTTGAACCATGATCCTCAGATCTCAGCCTCCTGAGTAGCTAGGATTACAGGTGTGAGCCACTGGCTTAAATGTTTAAGAATCATTTATCCCTGAGTTGACTCATTACAGATTCTTTTAAGTGCAAACAGAATCAAACGTTCTGAGCCAGCAGACAGACCTCTTTCTGCTGTTCCACACCTTATCTCTCCTACTTCTCTTCCTCTCCATGCTGACAACAGGAATGCTTTTATTATACTTTTTAGATACATGAGCATGTGCACTTATGCACTTCTCCAGCATTTCACCTCACCCTCCACACTCCATATGCCCAGCTCACAGCAGCTACAGGATGGTTAGCATATGACAGGACATATATCTTCCCCACTCTCTTTGAGGCAAATTGAGTCCTTGTAGCATTAATGGAGTGGTTTATAATAATGTTTTTTCATTTATATATTTTGTCAAGTAAACAGAAAAGGAAAAAATGAAGTTATTAAAGGTTAGTTGGGCCCTGGCAAAAGTTTATCAGATTTCTGAGTAAAACTGTGCTCTAAGTACTTTTTAATGTCAGTACACTTTTCTCAGTCCAGAGAATCATATTAATCTTGTTAGTCATAAAGTTTACTCTGGTAGATTACATAGGTTTATAAATGATGATTCCAGTTCACAAACTAGAGTAGGATTTCTTGTTTCAAAGAATGAAAATGTCAGAGTGGGTGGCTCGGTCTTGTTTTCCTGCCTTTTTGTAAAGATTAATCATCCTGATGAGAAATGTTGTGACTTAAAATGTTAGGGCCAATGTCTAGTTTATTTTCAGAAAATTTGGTTGTTGAGAACTGTAGGATGTTGTCCAAGTTACTGTTTGTAAAAGTGGACACTTTTTTTATACAATGACAATAGTGACATGAATATATTCATTGAAGAAATTATGTCACTTAAAAATTATAAGATGATTAAAGATTGTATACAATAAAGTTTTATTTTCTCTAAGTTTTATGAAATAATAAATAGAAATGATCAGTTTATATCATTAAGAAAGAAAATTAAATTGACATTAAACAAGTTTTTTTGGTATCCTTTCCAGTCCTTTTCCAAATCATTTTTGAGAAACAAAAATAATTTGAAGGATATAGAGGTATGACTTAGAATAAATAGTGGACTTCTTTTGCCCATTGAGGAGCTGGATTTCTTAAAATTGACCATTGTCAGTATTTTGTTATTAGCCAGTTGTAGTTTAAATGAATAATCAGTAAATGATATTTAGATTTGTGCTGATCCTATTATGTGTCAATTTTATTCTCTTCATGGTGTCAAGTAAATAAAATAGTTCTTGCATTAAAGGAAAAATATTTCAACTGCTGTTACTTTTCATAATTCCATTTCCCAATGACAAATAGTTGTACAGGCATCTAAAAAAGAATCACAGCACACAGAGAGTCAGTATGCATACTTGCTCTAGCACATAGTCTCAGAAAGGTAGGATCCTGACATACTGGTGTCTTTTCACTGTCAGAATTTATTGACTAACAAAAAATTAGTAAGCTGCATCAATTTCCTTGGCATTAATATGCCAAATACTACCGAGATCATTTAATAACTTAAGCCATTCGCAATACAGATTCTTTTATTACAATCTTAATTCTTATATTAACTCAGAATATACAATATAGTTCATAATAATACACACACACACACACACACACACACACACACACACACACAAGAGTTAAAGCAGACTCAGGATTCAAAGGGCCTAGCCTAAGAGTAGAGAGCTATATAGATGCAAAGAAACTGTTCTGGTTGTCCTTGGAGATATGTAAACATCCCTGTTCAGAGCTGTCTTTGAACCATTGAAGCCCAGTGGTATCAAGATGTAGTTTAAATGCAGAGCTGATTTCAGGCAGAGTTAAGTTGAGGTGCAGAGCTCTGTTGCTTACTAGATCAGAGATAAATGGCAATATGAGAGAATCCTGTCAAATGGATTGAGCTAAGTGGATGTCCCAGACAGAGTCAGTTCAGTGCTATTTTAACTCTTACTCATAAATGGGATAGACTGATGATGTGTCAGTGTTTGCTGCCATGTCCCTGTGCTAGATGCCCCTCCTTTTGGATATTTCAGGTGATGGAGCTGACTAAATGACTATATCAGATGTGTCTGATAGGTCTGATAAATCTGACTTTCTGATATGCTTTGATATATTTGTTAATATAATTGATTATTGGGACAAATGAATAATTAGTTTGTGTCCCTTGGTATGCTAATAGATGGTAGTTGTATATTTGCATAAACAAGATATTAATGTCATCTGTTTTGGTCCTTATGCTCAAGGTTAGGTTAAAACTTATTACTTTACAAAATGGAGTAGATCAAAGCTAGGCACAGCCTGAAAGGTGCTGTTCTCCCGATCCTAGACTAGTGACCCAGAGCAAGCCTAACATACCCTCCTAAGATATTTTTCTTCATTTTGCTCTTCTTTTTTTTTTTAGATCCCCCTTCTGTTGGGATCTGGTGATTGACTTTCCTTCTTCCTTTCCTCTCTTTGTTTCTCCTTCCTTCCTCCTTAGCCTCTATTTTCTTTTGGATTAAACCCAGGGCCTCTTTAGTAAGCTGAACCTCTACCACCAAACCATACCATCAGCCTCCCTCATTTTGTCATATTGGTACTTCTGCCAGTAGAGATCTGAAAACACTTAGTTTTAAATTTTTCTTATATTCAAAATTAGAGTTGTATTAATCTTAGTATAGGAATTGTACCAAATCATGCTTTTTAGAAGATTATTGACATTTAATGATTATTAAATCATCATTAATGTTTAATTATTTGGTATATATATGTTATTTGATAGAAATATCCTGAAAAGAAAATGAAGATGATATTTTTAGCTCCATATTCTTCACAGTAAAGTTTGTTCAGAGAGTTTAAGCAATTGACCTGCAAGCAGAGCAGATCTTGACAGTCCTTAAATTTTAAGTTATTCTCATTTTAACTCTAGTCCAGCACAATAAAGAATAAGGATATACCATAAAATAAGAGTAGAGCTTGAAACTAGGGAATTATTATACACCGTTGGGCCTTTTGCTTAACATTGAATGGCTACTGGCCATTCATGAGGCCATCCTGCCCTGCCCCATGCCTGCAATGCCTCCAGGACCTTCCCCTTCCTGCTCTTGTATTGGGATCCTATATAGCACAAGCCCAGAACTTAGAGATATGTTTTCCACTCGTGCATTTATTTTCCTACTGATTAAAAAAAAATCCAACTATTAGCCAGCACCAGTGGCTCATGACTGTAATCCCAGGTACTTAGGAGGCTGATATCTGAGGATCACGGTTCAAAGCTAGCCTGAGCAGGAAAGTCTGTAAGATTCTTATCTCCAGTTAACCACCAAAAAGCTAGAAATTGCACTGTAGCTCAAAGTAGTATAGCACTAGCCTTGAGCACAAAAGCTCAGGGACAGAACTCGCACATATGTATGCGCATGCGCATGTGTGCACATGCACACATATACATATGAATTCACCTATTATTTTTAAAAAGGAAAATACTGAGAAATCCAAAAATAAAAATCAAGTCTAAGGCACCAAAGATAACCACTATTTCAGTAATAATCAATATTTTATATAGCCTATATATCCATATATTACAAAACTTCAAAACATTTTTCTGAATTCACTTTACACTGAATGTATTTTTCTGTTGAATGTTCTGTTGTGAATACTTTTCCAGTTTTATTAAATATTTTGAGAATAACAGTTTTATAAAATAGGGATTTGTAACATTGGTTAGTGTGGATATGCTATACTTTTTAACTTATCCTTTACTAGGAAACTTAAGGCCAGTTTCATTTTGTACTGTCCTTTTGTTGGTAAGAACCTAGATGATCTTTGATCTCAGGTCTAATTATTGCCTTGTGATAGTCATCTAAAAGTGGATTTGTAGCTCCAGAGACCCTTGACAAATGTCGGCACATTGCTTTTGGATAGACAATCTCACCACATTTTGCCATTTCCTATTAGAATTTTAATTTTGATAGGTAAAAGTACTTATTCATGTATTGTAATTTGCATGCTTTGCCCTTTTTAGATTATTAGCATTTTTCCTCTGTTTATTCACTTCTTATATTCTAGAAGAGCTAGTTTTGAATGTACTTAGTAAAAGAAATACAGAGTTTAAACTCTGAAATAGGCATACAAATTACAGTAGATATATAGAGATTGATATCTATTCTACATATAAATACATATGGGCTGTTATTTTATATATGTATGGGCTATTATTTCAACATGTCTTCCCATTCGTCAAAAAAAAACTATCTAATGTGGCTTTGATATTAAATAAGTCTGCCATTAAATCCATGTTTAAAGTTTTACTTAAGTCTCCATAAGTCTCTTTCAAATACAAGACAGGGGGAATATAGAGAAGGCACCTTGTATTTATCATATGTTCAGCAATCAATTTTAATGTGTCTTTTGTATGAACTATGTATACCGGATTTTATGTAATTGGTTATTTTTGGCTTAATTGAATAGATTTAAATTTCAAGTTTAAAGTCATTTGAATTAATAGATAAGAAACAGATCAGCTTTGTTTCCTTATGGCTCTGTTTTCTATATTTATATGTGTTTCATCCTCCATACAAATTAGCTGAATTTTGTTTAGAAGCTATTTTTACACAACAGTTAATATAGACCAATTCATCCAGTTGGAATTTAAAATCTTAGTCAGAAATTATCAGGAATTTGTCTGAGTTCGGTAATGTATCCATGCAATGTTAGTTGGGATGCAGCGATCCAAAAGATCTTGGTAAAAAGTTTAGTGGGACCTTATTTTATTCAAAAAGCTAGGTGTAGCAGTATAACCCCCTGCTTTCACTATATTTGATGTCAGTATAACTTGTGGAGGAGAGGGGGGAAAACAAGTCGTTTAAGGATACAGGTGGACCTGTTGCAACAATGAGAAGTACAAGTTGTCATGTCCAAAACGAGCTTTACAACGTCGGTGGGGGGGGGGAGGAAGGGAGGGGAAAGGTTGGGATTGGGGGGAGGGAAGGGGGAGGCTGGGAAGGGATGTGAAGGCTAAACAAAGGAGGAGGCTGCAATGCTTGGTAAGAAATGTATGCATTATCCTGCCCATGTAATTGTAACCCCTCTGTACAGTATGTTCACAAATAAAATAAAATTAAATTAAAAAAAAAGCTAGGTGTAGTTGACTGTCTTCTGGATCTCCTTCCATTTCTCTTGATTTGCTTTTTCTGTCTGAGTTCATGCTTTTTTTCATCATAAGACCATTGTAATGCTGTAGAAACCTACCATGTACATTGTTTTAGCTCTAAATACTTTGGCTTTCCAACTAATCCTACACAAAGTGTTCAGGAAACTGTCAGAAATAGATCTGATTGTGTAGAAGACTGAAACTTAAGCTCCCTAGGCTGGTGTTTGTATGGGGCTTTCATCTTAACCTCATGTCTTTAGCTTCTTGCATTCCAGAATGCCTCATTCAGTCCACTCATCTTTCCTTCTCATTTACTCATTCAGCAAGTATTCAGTTAGTACCAGCTAGCCATGCTGTTATATTGTGCCTAGTATGGTTCTGGCTGGACTCCTTACTTTATAAAGTCTTGATCACCTTCTAAAGCCATTCAAGATGCAGATACCCATGCATCCTAAAGCCTTCCATGGCCTTTCTTATTTGTCCTCCCACTTAAACATGGATCCTGTCTTCTTTTCTTCCTACCATGTTTTATTCCTGTCACTAGGTAGCACTTACTACTCTGCATTATGATGCATTTTGTCTCTTTTGTCTGTGTCTCCTTATTTCTCCCCATTTTCCTTATCTTTAATTATTTTTCATTATTGTGTCTGTTTTTTATCTCTAGATGCTTATTGTGGATTTGTTGGCATGTGAGGGAAAATGAGTAACTTAGCATGATATGATGTAATTTCAAACATCAGTGGAAGAGTTTTTTGACAACGAAGGTCTTCCCAGCACCCCTGAGATTGTCCTATGCGAGCTGAGTCTTACGCAGTCTATATCAAATATGTTAATTATCCTATTAGAAGACTACCTTCAACAAGTGTAGCCTAATCATTGTGGATGTACTTAACTGTAAAATGTTCACAGAAAATGAAATAATTCAAATTTGGAGTATAATAAGCTTAATAAGTTACCAAGTGAAACCCAAAGCAGGAGTTGGATAAGTCTGAAAAATGTTATCTGATGCTTTACAATTTTCTTCTGTTAAAAGTTCCACTTCTTACTTTCACAGTTTGTTAGTAATTAATTAAGGAAGATTTAGGGGTAAGGAAACAAGGATATGAAAGAATATGAGAATTGTACTTATAGATATATCTGTATCTATCTATCTATCTATCTATCTATCTATCTGTCTGTCTGTCTGTCTGTCTGTCTGTCTGTCTGTCTATCTATCTATCTATCTATCTGTCTGTCTGTCTGTCTGTCTGTCTGTCTGTCTGTCTGTCTATCTATCTATCTATCTATCTATCTGTCTACATTTGGGGGTATATAAGAAGGAAATGAAACTATGATTCAAAAGAAAATGATAAAGACAGGTAATAGGTTTCAGATATGATGGGAATGGATAAAAGGAAAGGGAAGAAACAAAACAAATGGAAAATGTTAAAATTTAAAAGATAAATTGCCTTTTTCTGATTTACAGAAGAGAAAACCATATAATAAGTATACTCAAGTACAATATTCAAAACACTTAACAAATACCTGAACATATATACCATCAACGATGTTCTTTTAAGTGGGGATTTAGTGAGTAAGTCTATTTCTGAGTCCAAAGAATTGCATTATTACTTTTATTAAAGAAGATGCTTGAGTTGTAATAAGGTAATATACCTGTTTCACCAGGACCCCCGCTCTTGATTCCTCTTTGTGTAATCTCTCTCAGCACCATCAGTGTATTCTCTCTCTTTCTCCCTCTCTCTCTCTCTCTCTGTTTCTCTCACCCCTTCTCCCTCTTTCTTCCTTTCCCCTTTTCCTCCCTTTTCATACCCTTTATACCCCTTATATCCCTTTAGAAGTATTTTTCTTCTTCCCTGACTGGACTGTTGATTTTCTTGGTCAGATGTTGTGTGACTCAAGCTATAATTGGGGAATCTGAGGTGAAGATCTCATGTTGGAGTCTCTTCTGGGCTATATAGTGAGAACTTATGTCAAAAGAAAAATTGTATTAACCACTTGTAATTTTCCTTCCCAGAATGGCTATAATGATATATTTAGGTTTATGGTTTAGAGATGAGAGAGAGAGAAAGAAGGATGAGAGGGAATTTACATTTGTCTGTCACTGTTTTCCTTAATTGTTTCTCACTCTGACTTCTTTAACATTAGATTAGAACCTTTTCCAAATACACTGAATGTTTGCATGCCCCAAATGATTTTGTTAAGGGAATGACATCTTGGATAACTACAGATTTCTTGGGGTTTTCCCCTTACTCCTGTAGATTCTGTCTGGTGATCTCAGGTTCCAGGGTTGCATGTGAGAAATTTTATGTCATATCCTTTCTCTCACGTAAGTATTCTTTAGATTTGAAAGCTTGAAAAACTTTCTTCTCCCCCACTTTTTTTTATTACTAGAATCTTTGGCAGCTAATATACTTTACTTGTGATTTTAGGTTAGCATGGCCTCCCTGAAAGAACTGGACCAAAGACTCTTTGAAAATTACATTGAACTAAAAGCAGATCCCATTGTTGGTTCCTTGGAACCTGGAATTTATGCAGGCTATTTTGACTGGAAAGACTGCCTGCCTCCAACAGGTAAGGATTTGAAGGCACTCTGTATGTGATCTTGTACATCTACTAAGGTAGAGAACCTTTGTTTTGCCAAGCACCATTTGAATATTTATAATACCATACAAAGTTATCAATACAGGCATACAGGCAGATGATCATAGACAGCCAACAAAATGTATATAAGAAGCCTATGTATTTGTCCATCGTGTACCAAATGATTTCACAGGTCTCATGACCCATGTTCTAGACATGGATCTGGACATCTAGACACTCTTGAGGGTTAGACATGTAGACAGGCTTTATTAACTAATATATGCTCAAAAGGCTATTCTTTATTTTCACATTTTTCTCATTCTTAACATCTTTGTAGCTTAAGCATTTTTTAATATTTAAAAGTTTTATATGTAATGAACATGAATGTAAATTATTGTTAGATACATAATAGTAGTAATAACAATAGTCATCACTATTTTTCACATGTCCAGAAACAGTAGCTTAAGCATATTTTTGATAGGTTGTAATTTAATATGTTTTTTTATTATTAATACTCAGTGGTTTAGTTACTGTTTTGGTTTTTGTACTTGCTAGACAGATACTTTGCTACTTCAGCCACATATCCACTCTATCTTGTTATTTTTGAGTCTTGCATTTTACTCAGGTTAGTCCATGATCATCTTATTTGTACTTCCTGCCTTAGCTGGGATGACAGATATTAACTACCACACATAGCTTTTTTTGTTGTTGTTGTGTATTGTGTATATGTAACACATTTTCTTAATTCATTTGTCCACTGATGGGTGCCTGGGTTGATGACATAGCTTGGCTGTGGTAAACAGTACTGCAATGGAAAATGGTTGTGCTGGTTTCTATAGTATGGCCTTGTTTGTGGTCTATTGGATAAATTCCCTGGTGTAGAATTGCTTCGTCTTTGGGAAGCTCTATGTTTATTCTTTTGAGGAAACTCCATACTGCTTTCCAGAGTGATTGAACAAGTTTACATTCTCATCAACAGTGTAATAAAGTTCCTTTTGTGTTGCATCTCCACCATCATCTGTTGTTGTTAGTTTTCTTGATAATACTATTCTAACTGGGGATAGGTGAAATCTCAATCCCAGTTTTATTTGCATTTCTTTTATAGCCAGACATGTTGAACATCTTTTCATGTATTTATTGGCCATTCTTCTTATTCTGAGAAGTCTCTCTTTAAGTCATTAGCCCATTTATTAATTGGGTTGTTGTTATTTTGGGGTGGGTTAATTTTTTGGGCTCTACGTATATTTTAGATATGAAACCCTTGTCTGACACATAGCTGGTAAAAAAACAAATCTTTAGCCTTCCTGTGGACTTTCTATAAGCTATTTCCTGTGCCGTGCAGACACTCTTCAATTTCATGCAATCCTATTTGTCCAATTTTTCTTTGATTTGTTGTGAGTCTGGATCTTTGTGTAGCAAGTTCTGACCCATGCCTAGGACCCCTAGTGTTGCTTCTATCCCTTCTTGTAATATTTTCATCACATCTGGCCTTATATTGAGGTCTTTGATCCATTCGTAATTGATTCTGGTACAGGGTGATATATAAGGGTCTAGCTTCAGTTTTCTGCATGTGTATAGCCAATTTTGCCAGCAACATTTGTTGAAGAAGCTGTCTTTCTTCCACCTGTGTTTTTGACTCCCTTATTAAAAAGGAGGTAGCTATAAGTGTGGGTTCATTTCTGGATCTTCTATCTTGTTCCGTTAGTCCTCAGGCCTGTTCCTGTGCCAGTACCAAGCTATTTTTATTACTGTGTCTTTGTAATAGAATTTGAAGTTTGGTATTGATATTTTTCCAACAATGTTCTTCCCGCTAAGGATTGCTTTTGCTGTTCAGGATATTTTATTCCATAAGAATTTATTGATTATTTTCTCTGTTTCATTGAAGAATGTTGTTGGGATTTTGATGGGGATTGCATTCAATTTGTAAATTGCTATAGGCATTGTTTACATTTTCATGATGCTAATTCTTCTAACCCAGGATCATAAAACGTTTTCCCATTTCCTTAAATCTGCATTAATTTTTTTCAGATTTTTAAACTTTTCATCACATTTGCTTTGTGGCATAAGATATGATCTATTTTGAAGACTGTTCCATGGGCTGCTGAGTATGTATATTCTGATGCTGTTGAGTAAAATATCCTGTAGGTGTCTAGTTAATCTAGTTGATCAATGCAGTTATTTAGGTCTGAGGGTTCTTTGCTCAGTTTTTGCATGGATGGTATATCCAAAGGAGACAGTGATGTCTTGATTTAGACAACAATCAATGAGTTTATTTCTATGTGTGTTTTTAGGTCAAGTAGTATTTGCTTGACGAAGTTGGGTGCTCTAGCATTGGTGCATAGATATTTAGACTTGTTATATCCTCCTGTAGGAGAATTACCTTATTAGTATGGAATATCCTTTTTTTCCTCTTATTAATAATTTTAATTTTTTACCTGTTTTTGATATGTTTTATCTGATATTAATGTTGCTACTCCAGCCTGTTTATGGGAGCCATTTCCTCGAAAGATTTTATTCCACCTTTTCACTTTAATAATGTGTTTGATATTATCAGAAAGATGTGTCTTTTGTAGACAACAGATGGATGGGTCTTGCTTTTTGATCCAACTAGTCATTCTGTATCTTTTATTTGGAGAGTTAAAGCTATTTATATTGAGAGTTAGGACTGAGAAGTGTCTGGTAACTCCTTCCATGATACTCACCTTCCTAAGGGCTGTGCCTCATTTATTCTCACTATATATTTATCTGGTTCTCTGGTAAGGAACATTTTCTCAGCCAGTATGGTTTTCTTGTTGACTTTCTGTATGTAGGATGTCTTTATGTATCTTCTGTAGTGCTGGTTTGGTACAGATAAATTGTTTGAATTTTTCTTTATTATGGAATGTTTTTATTTATCTTCAGTTATGAAGGAGAGTTTTGTTGGGTACAGTATTCTCTTGTAGTAGTTATTTGCTTTTAGTATTTGGAATACAACATGCCATAGTGTATTGCTTTCATGGTCTCAGCTGAGAAATCTGTAATTAATCTGACTGGTTGTCCTTTGTCCTTTTCAATCTGGCAGCTTTAAGGATCCTTTCCTTGGTCTCTATGCTGTGCAAGTTACAGTGTGGCAGTAGGATGTTCTGTTCTGATCTGTTCAATGTTCCAAATGTTTCTTGTATCTGAATGAGTCTATCTTTTTGATGTTTGGGAAGTCTTCTACTAGAATTCTGTGGAATGTTTTCTATCCCCTTAGTTGCCTGTTGCTTATCATTTCTGGATACCTATCAGCCACAGATTTGATTTTTGAATTAAGTTCTGAAGGAATTTTTTTGATGTTTTCTTTTTCTTAAATTTTTTTATTTTTGGGTCAGGTCATGGGGCCTGAACTCTGGACCTGGGCACTATCCCTCAGCTCTTCAGCTCAAGGCTAGTGCTCTACCACTTGAGCCACAGCACCACTTCCGGCTTTTTTCTTTTTTCTTATGTGGTACTGAGGAAACCCAGGGCCTCAGGCATGCAAGGCAAGCACTCTACCACTGAGCCACCTTCCCAGCCCCCTTTTTCTTAAATTTTATTGTATTGTAAAGATGCTGTATAGAGGGGTTATAGTTACATGAGTAAGGGAATGAGTACATTTCTTGTCGAGCATTGTTTCCCCCCCCCTTTTGTTGTTCTCCCACTATCCCTTCCTTCCCCCACCTCTCTCCCTCCCACAAAGTTATATAGTTCATTTTCTATATAGTGTCTTGTGGGTATCATGTTTCTTGGGATTGTTCTTGTTTTTTTGGATTTGTTCTGTATAGTTATTTCCTCTCCCTCTGTTACATCTGCTCTATCTTCTGGTCCTGAATCTGTCTTTTACATTGTCTGTTTTGCCACACAGACTCTCTATTTTTTATTTCTGTTGATATTATCATATCTAACAGCTTCTACCTCTTTATTAAAGTCTTTTTTTAGCGTTTCTAAGGACTTCTTTACATCACTGATTTGTTTCTTTGTGTTTTCCTTAATCTTCTTTAACTAGATGGCTGTTTTTTCATTGAACTCATTTGCCCTCTCTTCATTTAGCTTCTTGTTTATGTTCTTCATGAAATATTCTATTATTTTTTGATTAACATTGTCATGCTCAGGAATTGTTCTGTATACATTGTCAAATGTTTCATTAATTTATCAGCAATGTTTTAAATGCATCTTGTGAGTGTCTTGTAAGTCCCTCTTTTTCTGCTCTGTTGTATGGTTGTTTTCTGTGATGGATTTGCAAATTCCTGGTATTTCAGTGATATGTTCTATCCATTTGAAGACCTGTGATCTTTGTAATATGGCTCCCTGTGTTTTTGGTTGACTAGGTAGCTGGTGTTCTGATCCTTCATTAAGAGTTACTTATCTGGGTTCAGGACTTGTAGAAACTGTTGAGTGATGTAGAATTCTGTTGTGGTTTGGAGCAGTACTTTTAAAATTTGTCTATCAGCTGAACGTATTGAGGTTGTAAGATAAGGTTAGTATGGAGACAGGTAGTTTCTAGAAATACATATGAATGAGAGGGGCATAAGTTTAAAGGGGCATTTGTAGAGAAAAGAAGGGAGAGAGGACAGGGGAATGAGTGCAATGGAAGAGACAAATGAGATAGAAAAACCTGTAGTCTACACTGAAGATAGAAATAGAGTGGAGAGAAATTGCATCAAATACCCTGAGCCCTAATGCTGTCTACTCTAAAAAGCTGAAGTTAATTGCTGACATTCTCCTACTTAATTACAACTCTACTTTTGAACTGAAAAAAGCAATATAGAGAATAGGATATTGTATGTGTATGTAAAACAAGCAACACAACTACATATCTCAAACCCACAGATCAGTAAACACAGAACATTCAAATGGGAGATTCATGTTCTCTAAAAAAATTAAGAAAAGAAGAAAGAAAAAAAAAAGAGCTCTCTGCTTAGTAGATCAGAGATGTGATGCAGTTTCTATAGGATTGCTGTCTTTTTGTTCTCCTCAGTGAGCTGCAACCC